AGGAAATGCCTAGGTGAAACTCTTGGTGGGCTTTTGTTACATTCCAGGCTTTGCATAAAGGCAGTGGCTCTTTCAGCTTCTAATATTTAACTTAACCACTCAGTCAGAGCTGAAACACTTGTTATGGAGGCCTGCATTAGTGAGACCTGGCCTGCCACAAAAGCTACCTAAGGACAATTATATTCCTAAGATACTCTTTCAGACTTTTACTCCAAGACTCCCAAGTCCTCTGGCTGAGACAATAAATATTCTTCTGATTGTGGCGGAAAGTCCACATTAAATTTTTACTCCTCCGTGCTTGTGCTGCTGCTTTGGTGACATGTGTGGGCTTAATCACCTGCATGTAGCCCACCTAACTCCATATTCACATGTCTGTTCACTGTACCCATCTCTGCAGATTCGTTCATGTTTAGTTGGAACTGTCCTTCTGTGTTACTGAATTCCTTGCATCCTTCAGGAACAAACTTATATCCATGTTCACCATAAAACATCTGATAACTTCAGCCAATACTACAACCCACAACTACTCCCAATATTTTCTGCTTGGCATCTGCAGTACTTCTCAACTTAAATTAAATATTTGAGATTTACCTGTTTCTTCAGCTTTCCCTTCATTATTTAACGTGGCCAAGCCTTGTTGCCTTAGACAAAACATCAGCCATTTGAGGAGAGGGCTGACTGTCTTTGCCATAATAATCTGTAACCCTCACCCCTAAACAACCCAGACTTAAAAAAGTGCTGAGTTTCACATATGAGATCATGTAGTATTTGTCTTTCTATGTCTGACTTCTTTCACTTAGCATAGTATCCTCAAGGTTTATCCATATTGTCACAAATGACTAGATTTCATTTTTTAAAAGGTTGATTAGTATTGTATGTATACACCACATTTCCTTTATCCATCTATTCACTGATGGGCACTTTTGTTGTTTCCAGATCTTGGCTCTTGGAAATAATGCTACAATGAACACGAAAGTGCAGATATCTCTTTGACATACTGATTGCATTCCTTTTGGATGTGTACCCAGAAGTCAAGTTGTTGGATCATATGAGAGTCAGAGGATGCAACATTTAGTTATGGACGAGGATTAAGTTTAGGATGTCTGTTATAAAACATGATTATAGTTAATAGTATTGTATTCCTGAAAATTGCTAAGAGTAGATTTAAAATGTTCTCATTACAAAAAGTGTGTGAAGTAATAAATATGTTAATTAGCTTGATTTAGTCACTCCTCAATGTAGACATATATGAAAAGGTTATGCTGTATACTATAAATGTATACACTTTTTGAAAATTAAAAAAAATTTAACTTAAAAAAGAGTGCTGGGCATATCAAAGGAGTTTAGACAAAGCACTTGTTGAACTGATTCGAATGGAAAATATCTTAGCAGTCTGGAGTTCTACTCCACCCAGAAAAGACTGCCTTCGCAGGCACTTTCAGTGTGACTCCTATCCAGGAGTCCTGTTGGAATGCAGTGGTTGGGATGTGACAATCTAGGATAATGCAGTGGTTTTATGACAATCTAGGATAATGCTCAGTTTGTAGTGCTGGCAAAGAGTTTGACATGTAAATATTGCATGGCACATAAAGAACAATCTGGGGCCAAGCGTAGTGGATTACACCTATAATCTCAGCAGTTTGGGAGGCCAAGATGGGAGAATCACTTGAGCACTAGAGTTCAAGACCAGCCTGGGCAACATAGCGAGACCCTGTCTCTACAAAAAAAAANAAAAAAAAAAAAAAAAAAATACGGAGGCATGGTGGTGTGTGCTTGTAGCTCCAGTTACTTGGGAGGGTCTGGGAGGTGGAGCCTGCAGCGATCCATGATCATGCCACTGCACTCCAGCCTGGGTGATACAGCAAGACCTTACTCACAAAAGGAATATGATTTGCTAAGCCCTGTGCACATCCTAGACTAGAATCATCTGCAGCCGTGTCTACTCCAGAGACAGTAGTTGAGAATTGAGGCTCAGGATTTCAGAATATGATTTCCTTCAAAAGAAAACTCCAAGAAAAGGAGATTTAAATCTCATGAGCAGGCTTTGTTATATTAAGGAGGGCACACTTTCATAAAAAGAATATGTGGTCATTTTGAAACTCAGGGCCATTGCTTCTCCATGAGCTCTTAGTAATATTAAATAGAATTTCCATGTTTTATTCACTCTAAGAGGTATTTAACAAAGGCTTTCACATTTGTGAACTGAGTATACGTCTTGTAATCATCATAGGCCAGTGGTACTGGAATATAGTGGTCATTTTTGAGCGTGGACATTAAAACTTGCAGAATGGGTATTGGAGGATGGAAAGAAAATTCTAGAGATGTTAGTTTATCAGTTTAAAAACATTTGCATCGCTATTAATGATGAATTGAGGCATGGTATAGTGTAGAAAAGGACAGGTATCATGGAGGAGTCATGAAGTGATCAGTGTCATATGCAGAATAGGAAGTGACGATGTTAGCATATTTTTCTTTTTTTATGGGTGTACTATGAGTGACATATAGAAACTAAGTCCAACTGAATTTAAAAGAGCTCCATCTGTAAGCTTAAAGTTCTACTTCTAGGTAATAGGAAAGCATGGGCCATATTTTTTTTTTGTTGGCAGAATTATTCTTAGTGATATACCCAGTAATGATACATCTAACATAAATGTTTTCTTAGACTCAGTGAATCAGCTAAAGGGGGTTTTATGATACAAAGAATGAGTCAAATAAAATTATCCTCATACAACAAAAAAGAAAATAAGATGCAGGCATAGAATCTAACAACTGGAAAATAATTTGAGTTCTAGTCTCCTTAGTTACTATTTAGCCACAATGTTCACGTTTTCAGGTGATTTTTTTCTCCTTGCTTAAGATGTTTCTATTTTAATTACTTTTGATAATTGTGATCCCATTGCTATCTTTAATAAAAAGAAAAAGACTAATATTGGGGGCATTTTATGTTTAGCATACTGAAGTGCCACGAATCAGTTCATATTGGAAAAAGCATTTATCCCCCTAGCCATGGGGATGGCAAGATTTCTATAGGGCCTGGAATGTCCAGAGAACCTGGCAGGCTACTTCTGGCCATTAGGAGCCTCTAATTTCATTACTGTGTGGTATAAATATTATCCTTTGCTACCTATGTCCTTTCATGGAAAAGATTGTGAACACTGCTGTAACAGATTGCAGGTGGCGTCTCTGAAAAAATCTGGAATAGACAAAGTTAAAGACCACATTGCCTCCAAGGTCCTGTCATGATTTGTACAGATTATGTCCAAAAGTTTTCCTGCAAGAATGATACTACTGCAGGGATATTTCTTTTTACATTTGCAATCCCCATGAAGCTTGATTAGAACTTAGAGTTGCCTTGTTAACAGGTTGAAAGAAGAAACTTTGGCTCTAAAGTTAAAAGTTAAAACATGAAAACAAGCATCAATTCTATAAAAGTGATTTTCAAAACGTAGTCTCTGGACCAGCAGCATCGGCATTGTTGGAAATGTCAGAAAGGAAATCTTAGCCTCCAACCTGGACTTATCAGATCAGAAACTGTGGGAGGGACCCATGCATCTATCCTTTAACAAACTCTTCAGATGATTTTGATGCTTGCTCAGGTTCAGGAGCCACAGATTTACAGTGTCCAGAAGATAAAAGGTAAGAAAAAAGAATATTTGATCTCTTGTCCAATAGACACTGGAATATGGTCCCTGGATTAGGATCATATTTCTCCTGTCGTCTTGTTTTCTGCCTTTGGACAAATTATTTAGCTTTGCTGGGCTTCAATTTCAGTATAAAATGAAGGCAATCAATTATTTTTTTTGTTCCTTATAGGGCTTTTTCATTGCCCTTCTATGTTTAAGCTGCATCATGTGCTGTGTAGCATCTTTTAGTAGAGCATGGAGGTGGAGGGGGCTGCAAGCAGTGGTTGTGACTTCTTGAGAATTCTTGAACCATGCTGAGAAGTGGTGGTGGTGGTGAACTTCTTTCTACACTGGTAGAGCAGGAATTGCAGGGCTTTTACTGCCTAATGAGTCAGAGATTGTTGGAAAATAATGAGAGTTTAAGATGCTTTTACTAGTCTCTGGGTTCTAATCCTGGCCTTAATATTAACTCTCACTGTGATACCAGTTAAGTCTTAACTCTCTGGCTCTAAGTTCTTCTGTAATGTAAGAAATCAAATAGGAAAACAGTTTTATGTATCTAGTACAATGATCAGTAGAGAGCAAGTGCCCAGTAAATGTTCCATTTTTTCCCCATCTCAAATATTCTGTTCTTTGCAATTGGCCAGTGTTAAAAATGCTTTGCTGGCTGGGAGCGGTGACTCACATCTGTAATCCCAGCACTTTGGGAGGCCAAAGGCGGGTGGATCACTTGAGATCAGGAATTCAAGGCTTGCCTGGCCAACATGGTGAAACGCTATCTCTACTAGAAATGCAAAAATTAGGTGGGTATGATGATGTGTGCTTGTAATCTCAGCTACTTGGGAGGCTGAGGCAGGAGGATTGCTTGAACCTGGGAGGTAGAGGTTTCAGTGAGCCGAGATCAACTACTGAACTCCAGCCTGGGTGACACAGTGAGACCCTGTCTCAAAAAAAAAAAAAAAAAAAAAAAAAAAAAAGCTTTGCCAACATTTATTTGGTTCCCACATTATTATGTAGGTTCCTAAAACCATCTCTGGAAGGGAAGTATTTGCTGACAGCCTGTTAGTCTTCTTGTCAGCTCACGTAACCAGTTATCCTTATCCTGTGAAGTCTAACTACCTGCTTTCAATCTAATATTTGAGAGTTATAAGTACTTTTAAGGATTTGTTGCTTATATGTACCAACATTTTTGGGGTATTCTATAACCCAAACTCTAAAGCTGCTGGGCAAATTACATAGCACAGCCTTGTTTAAATTGGGGGGGATGGGGGCAACATGAATCTGAGTATATCAGTAACATGTCTTAGTTTAATTAAAAATGATCTACCAATGAATGATTAGAAGAAACTTCCTGTATTGTATTTATTCATGCTATCAATCGCTTCTCGGCCTTTTGGCTAAGATCAAGTGTAGTATCTGTTCTTACCAGTTTATTCATACTATCTTTTAATAGAACCTCACCATTCTTAACACTAACAATGTACTAGACACTTTGTGTCTTATTTGATTCTTACAACAGTCATATAGGATGGGTTGTATTGCCTCCATTTGAGTAACTTGCCCAAGTTCACCCAGTATGTGACAAAACCAAAACTGTTTTGAATCTAAGTATTTTTCTTTCCAGGGCCAATGCTTTTTTTACAGAAACAAAGCTCTCTGAAAACTTGTTGGGTAAATGGCTTTAGTTTTTGCATAAGGGGTTCTCTGATTCTCAAAGGTGCCGAGATGGTGTTAAAATTTAAGTTTAATCAATCAATCAATTAGTATTTATTGAATGCCTGCTGGGTGCAAGGATTGCACTGGTGCTATGGGAAATAAACAATAACAACAAAGAATCAAACTGATCCCCATGCAGTGAAGGAAGAGAAACACATGAAGACTGGCATGAGATCACGATGAGGCAGCTCCCTGGTTGCCAGGCAGGTCAGGAAATGTTTCACATTTATGATGGGACTTTCTTTCCTTTCCTTTTTATTTTTTTAAGACAGAGTCTACTTCTGTTGCCCAGGCTGGAGTGCAGTGGTACAATCTCAGCTCATTGAAACCTCTGCCTCCTGGGTCCAAGGAATTCTCCTGCCTCAGCTTTCCAAGTAGCTGGAATTACAGGTGCCTGCCACCATGCCCAGCTAATTTTTGTATTTTTAGTAAAGATGGAATTCACCATATTGGTCAGGCTGTTCTCTAACTCCTGACCTCAAGTGTTTCTCCTGCCTCAGTCTGCCAAAGTGCTGGGATTACAGGTGTGAGCCACTGTGCTTGGCCCACGATAGGATTTTTATTCTTGGAATATCTATCAAGTCTTACTGTGTTTCTGGCATTATCTTACGTAACTTTTACAACTACTCTATCCTCATTTTATAGTTGAGCCAACCAAGATCCAGAGGGGTGAAATGAACCTTCCTGATTTACACACTTGGCAAGAAGAAGGGATGAGAATCAGGCCTCAGGCTTTTAAATACAAGTCTGATGCCCCTTCTACAGCATTTATTAGAGTGATCTCTAAGAAAGGGTTGTTAACATTTAGTTTCCCGAAAGTATGCCTGTAATCTATTAAATGCCAAGAAACAGGAGTCTAAAGACCATGAGACTTTCTTTGTTCAGAGTTTTCTTAGGGAATACACGGTGTCTCTTTGAAGAAAAGACTTTAGTTCTTCCTACTAATGATAGCAGTTATGCTGGTATTTGTTCAGGTATGTGCTAGGGATTCAAACTGAGAGATATTAAAAAGAGCCATTTAGAATTGCGTACTGCTCTTCAGAGACCCTCCTGCCTACCCTCAACTACTTAAAACAATAAACTGTCTCCCTGTGGGAAGGAGGCACAGCCTTTGTGTGGTGGAGGCTGGTGAAGCTGGGGGCGCCTCAGTGAGCAGCTGGGCTGGGCTGAATGGGGCCAGCTTGGGACAGTGGACTTCCCAGGGACCAAAGTCCTCAGGCAGCTTGTCCCATGGGGAAAGATGGACACTACCTTCTGCCTGGATGTCACCAGCAAGACCAAGCAGGGGAGCAATTTTAGGCCATTTTAGAAAGTTCAGGCAGTTGCTAAGTAGCCTTCCCTGTTGGTGTCCACAGCCTGGTAGGTGGCATCCGTATGTTACTTGGCTGCAGTTGTGACTTTCATGGGCACCACCCAGCATGCCTTTGATAGGGAGCAGCAAAGCAAGACTGTAAAGGCTTTCTTGCTTTGTGAAAAGCAAATGTCAGTGCAGCCCCAAAGAATGAGGCAGACTCAAAGGGATGCATGAACAAAACTGTTTAAGGCAAAGGTGTCCAAGGAAACATTTGAAGTACCTGCTTTTGTTTGGTTTTGTTTATAGAAAAATTATAAAAATAACTCCTTTTGAAGCAGAAACCTCATATGCCTAATATATTATCAAAGAATAATCTAAAGAGATGGTTATGGTACTTCCTGATAAGGGATTAACATTTAACTTCCCTAGTAGGCACGAGAATGGTCCCAATTAAAAAACCCCAAATATAATAAAATTTCCTTTCAAGTTCAAATTAGAAAATTGAAATCCTATAACCTCTAGCACAAAGATGTNAGGGAGAAACAAACAAAGGAAACGTAGAAATGCAGTGTTTCCAAACAAAGGTGCCATTGGCATTTGGGGCTGGGCAGTTCTTCATTGCATGAGACAATAAACACTCAAAAATATTTATTGCTGAATTAATTTTACTTATTCCATCTTGAAGGCTGTTTATCAGAATCCTAATCTTCCTCTACATTCTCATAGTGTTTCTATTATACTTAGTCTGATGTTTAATTTTATTGAATTCTGATTCACAGAGAACTATTAATTCATACTGTGATTCAATTAATAATAATAATAATATTCACCAGAGTGCTTCATACCTGCAACATTATGGTTAAGTGGACATAATGGAACTTTCATAATTTACAAATAGGAATACTTCAAATAGGTTAAGCTGAAAACCAGCTTCCCCTGTGTGTCACTCAGATAATGCAAAGCTCTGTTGATTGTTCTCATCGTAAAATATATATGGATTGCTACTCCCTACATTTTTGTTCTGCCCAGCTGTGTTAGCTTAGTTATCATAAACATTTCCCACCTACACCCCAAAGCTATTTTGGAATAATATATAAAAATATTTGGTGGGAACTTCAATTTCTTTTGTTTCAATCATCTTTAGAGTGGAGATATTAAAAGCCCATTTGACCCAGCAACCCCATTACTGGGTATATACCCAAATCATTCCATTGTAAAGACACATGCACACATGTTTATTGTGGCATTGTTCACCATAGCAAAGACTTGGAACCAACCCAAATACCCATTAATGATAGACTGGATTAAGAAAATGTGGCACATGTACACCATGGAATACTATGCAGTCATAAAAATGGATGAGTTCATGTCCTTTGCAGGCACACGGTTGAAGCTGGAAACCATCATTCTCAGCAACCTAACATAAGAACAGAAAACCAAACACCACATGTCCTCACTCATAAGTGGGAATTGAACAATGAGAACACATGGACACAGGGAGGGGAACATCACACATTGGGGTCTGTCAGGGGGCGAGGGACTAAGGGAGGGATAGCAGCGGGTGGGGATATAGGGGAGGGTTAGCATTAGGAGAAATACCTAATATAGATGATGGGGTGATGAATGGAGCAAACCACCATGGCACATGTATACTTATGTAACCTGTACAATCTGCACATGTACCCCAGAACTTAAAGTATAATAATAAAATTTAAAAAGACCCAAAGCATGTAACCAAGTAAGAAATAACTCAAGTAATGAAACTTTGGATCCAGAAAGAACCCCAGTAATTATCAAAACTAGGTAACTGTCTTGTGTATAGATTTGGAATCTAAGGCCAGTGAATGTCAGCAGCTTGTTCAAGTTCACTCAGTCAACGACAGGTATATGGTGACTACTTGGGACGTCTCTGGGTCATTAGTTCAGTGCTTTATCCACCAGGCAACACTTGGCAGCTGTTTTCCCAGACTTTGACTGGTACTGCACTTGCCTTTGGAGCAGCAGTTGTTGCTTTCTCCCTAGGAGATTAAGAGATGAACTAGATGATTAGTCAAGTCTTTTTCCAACACAGTGTGTTGAGTCTAGCTGGAAAATCTTGGAGGAGCCTCGTTTTTCTCACAGGTAAATGGGCAGTGCCTCACGTGCAAGTATGCACCACAAGTTTGCAAGAGAAATAGAACCAATGGGAAACTTTAATCAATGTAGATTACTTCTAGGTTTGAGTGACACTTGAGTGACACTTGAGTATTGTTTCAGCATTCATCCTTATAGCCACCATGCAAGAACATGACTCTTCCCAGTAGCATCATCCTCTCTGCCCTATACTGTTGACTATTTTGACTTAGGACCTTGTCTCTCTCTCTCTCTCTCTTTTTTTTTATTGGAATGTTCATTTACCTTCTCCCAGTTGGAGTAATTTGTATCTCCACTTGGATCTGAGCAGCATCTTATCATATGCTCTCCAGTGTTTCTTAGTGCTCTGGTATTTTCTTGAAGAAAAAAAAATCAAAAAGAAAAACTCTGCCAACCTTTAGGGAAATGGTGAAAAATGCTCCTAGAAAGGCATTGTCCCTTTTGTTCACAGCTATTTCTGTTTCTTTCTTCCACATTCAATACCCAACCTACTCAGTGTGGACTATACTCCTTCTTATAGGCAAACTCACCCACGGTTTTCACTTGCCCTTATATGTTGGCATGAAATTTATTCCATAACCCAGATTTTCATTATTTTTTTTTTACAAAACAATAAACACTTTTTTTTTTTTTGAGACAGAGTCTCACTCTGTTGCCCAGGCTGGAGTGTAGTGGCATGATCTTGGCTCACTGTAACCTCTGCTTCCTGGGTTCAAGTGAGTCTTCTGCCTCAGCCTCCCAAGTACCTGGGACTATAGGTGCGTGCCACCACACCCAGCTAATTTTTGTATTTTTAGTAGAGATAGGGTTTCACTATATTGGCCAGGCTGGTCTCAAACTCCTGATCTCGTGATCCACCCGCCTCGGCCTCCCAAAGTGCTGGAGTTACTGGCATGAGCCACTGCGCCCAGTCTAAATGCTTTTATTACATGGGCAAAGACAGAAAGGATGAGGATTTGTTTGCTTTTCTGGGCCTTGATTTTCCTAAGATAGAACTCCAGCTCTTTGCCCTCTAGCACGTAGTTATCTGCTCTGCCACACTGTCCCAGCCTTAATGTGAGGCATGGAAGAAGCCTTCCTTGCTGGAACTGCTCCTTCAGGAGAGTGCTGATTTTGGTATTCTTTTTTTTCATCATATTTCTTGTAAATTTTTTTAGATTGCTTTTTGTTTAAAATCTCTTCCTTCTCAGCAGTCAGTTTGGCCCTCTTCTTGTGGTCCAAGAGCAGTGCATAGTGGAATTTGTACCACTGTGGTACGATGTGCTGTTGATGAGCACGATGCAGTTCTTCACCAGGGTTTTCGTACAGACCAGCTCATTACTGGATGCATTGTAGACAACATCGATGGTCATTGTTTGGCAAGCACAACACTTTGAGCCCAGGAGAAATCTCCCATGTCTGGCCTCAGGGCATGATATTACTTGTTTCTTTC